CGCCGCGGCCACCCTGGACGAGCACAGCGCTCAGGAGGGCCCAGTGGGACCGTGTCCACACTGGGGCTTTCCGAGATCAGGTGGTCGCCGGAGGGGTTTCAGGGCGAGACCGGGGCTGGGCCGCTGGGCCAGGCAGGCTGTGTGCCCGCGTCCGCACGGAGAGCGCAGGTATTTGGGGGCTCGCTTCCCGTGGCGCGTTCTTGCTGTCACCCTTGAGCTCGTCCGGCAGGTGGTTCTGGAGTCCCTCCCGTGGGCCAGGGCTCCGCTGGCCACAGGGTGCAGGTCATGGGGAGAAGCCAGGGCTCCGCTGGCCACAGGGTGCAGGTCATGGGGAAAAGCCAGGCTGTTGGCAGGTTATTGCTGGCATGACCAGGGCGAGGGAGAGGGTGGCCAGAGTGAGTGGGAGCAGGTGGGGGCCAGGCGTCTGGGGCGGTGCAGGGAGGCAGCGATTCTCCGGGCACTCTGGAGGGAGCCGGGGCACCGAGGAGGCCGTCGGGCAGAGTGCTCACCCCAGGAGGACGTGCAGGAGCACGTGCCGGATGCTGGGCACGGCCAGCCGCCCTGGCCTCAGGCGGCGGCCGGTCGAGGGGGCGATGTCACCTGATCCATGGGCCTGGAACGGGCATGGCCTTGTGGGACGGGTGCCTACCTGGACACGGGGCGTCCTGGGTGCTGACCCTGGCATGCATCGTCGGGAGAGAAGCTTCTAGACCCCCAAGCGAAGGGGACGCCCATGTGGCCCGTGATGTCCCTCTCCCGCTAGCTGGGGAAGCCTCGACCCTGCTGGGCGGGGTGGCCAGGCCTCGGGCAGGGAAGCAAATGCCTTCTGCGGAGGTGGTGTCCAGAAGTCCCCGGGTGGGGAGGACGGCGGGCGGGCGGGCAGCCGGCGAGGGGGGCTGGGGCGCTGCGTCTCCCGGCCATCTGCCTCCCCACCCAGAGCCTTTGAGTGTAATATTAAAATGTTCCTCATTATTTTCCTTGGATGAGTTTGCTATCCTGATGATATTAATTATTCTTAAAGGTCAACAGCGTTCTCTGGAAGCCCCTTCTGTTCTGTCATGTAATCAGCTAATTAATTGGGAGCCACTTAGCATCGTCTGCCGAGCGCCGTGTGGGGTGAGCGTGCGGCCCCCGCCGGGGCCCCCGCCGGTGCCCGTGTTCCTCCCAGGACTGGGGACCTTGAGCCACGCGCCCCCGCCGGGGCCCCCGCCGCGGGCACCGCGGGGCCGGCCTCCAGGTCGCCGTGGAAGAAGGCGATGCACCAGAACAGGAGGCCGAAGAAG